TTATTTTATCGATGTGAGACTTGTTTGTATCCAATAGTTATTTACTATTTAGCTTACTTTTTTGACTCTATTGGAAGTTCTAATGGGTAAATGGAGCCACTATGCTAGAGGCATGAGAGATTTCTTAATGTTGGTGTGCTTGACTTTTTTGATAATTCATAATAATTTAGATTTTAAAGTTAATTTCTTCTGCCATCGTTGCACAGTGCTCAAGTTTTTGAAGGTCACCCATTCATTGTGGAAGCTGGAGTCAGTGTAGGTGGAAAAGATGTCAAGCAAGTTAAGTTTCGTTTCCAACAATGTTTATGTTTGATAACCAGTTTGAAATTCGTGTGTTAAAAATATCATCTTATCTGAAAAAAATAGTTAGAGGTAGAGTAAACTACTATAAATGTTGTAACAAACATGGAGAAAAATATACAATAGAAAAAAAACCTTTTGTTAGATATGCAAAAGGATTGGATTCAGAGAGATACGTTTTTTTAATGTTCTTTTTCCATGTTTTTGTGGTTTTAGCAGATTTCCTGATCCTCCTGCCTTTTTTTTTTTTGTACTTGTCTTATATAGTAAAAAAATTAATTTTCTATAAAGAAAACCTAATTTAACTTCTGAATATGCTTTCTGATGGATTGTGATAAACTAATAATATTCCCCAACCACCCCCCCCCTCCCCAACCTCTTTTATTTTATTGTGTTATAGTTGATTTCCATGATGGTCTTAAATTAGGTGATTTTGGGTCATTATTGATCAATTAGGCAATGTTAGGACTTAGGAGCTAATTATAAAGAGATGCAATGGTAATGATTTGTCAGTGACAGAACATATAATGCTTGTTTCCAGGGTCTGAATATATTTCGATTTGCCAACAGAATTCCACTACTTTTTGAGCAAGGTGCCGATGTTGTCACCAGGACCGCACTAAAAAGAATCAAGTAAGTAAGCACAGAAAAGCATATGGTTTCTTTTGACTTTCTAATTTTCACTTTGTTTGGATGAGGGAGCAAAGTTAGAGGAAAAAGAATAAAAAAAAAAAATAAAATGAAGAGAAAATGAAGGTATAAATGATGATGTTTGGATGAAAGAAGAAAAAAAAAAAAGAAAAAAGAGAGGAAAGAAAATATAATCATGTTATGATGAGGTGAAGGTATACAATATAAATGTTGCTAGGAGTGGTTTTTTCTTTTTTTTTTTTGAAGTCAGTCCCACTATAACTTTTCTTTTCAAAAATCATTTGTTCCAAACAGTGTTTTATGATGAAGTGACAGAATAAGGCTCAATAATTGCTTCACAAAATTCCCTGGCATCACAAGGAAATAATAACCTGTGAAATCTTATTAAATACTTTTTCAGCTGGAGTAGTTACAAAATCAACCAGATACAAGATAAAATTGGTGTCTTTGTAAGCATTGTGAGCACAAAAATTCCATTCAAAGGAACCGGGAAAGAATACATTGGAGATGACATTACTGAGATTGCTTCTGCTGTCAAGGTGTGAGATTTCTTTCAATATACAAATTTTAAATTTTAGTTGTGTAAATAAAGCTAACAGCATTTTTTTTCCTTCGATATCTAGTATGCTATTCAGCAATGTTGTGTCCAATTAAAATCCAAGATTGTAAAAAAGATGCAGGCCCGTGAGCAGCAGGAGAGGAAACGAAATCTAAGCAGGTATGCCAAAGTTCTATTTGTCCCTCAATTCCAGGATTCAACTGAATGATGATGCAAATGCTTTTCCAGTGTGAAATAAAATATATTTCCTACCGTTTGGCAGGTATATTCCTGATGCTTCTGCTGCAGTATACAATGTTTTGAAAGAAATGACACAGTTACATGCATCTAAGAAGATTCGTTATGAGGATGATGATCTAGAACTACTGAGAAAAGTCTCGGAGAATTTACTTACTAAAGAAACATTGAGTGAAAAGCTTGCCAAACATGTTGAACAGGTATGCTCTCTAGCTTTGTGTGTGTGAAACTTCCATAGTTTTTTTTTTCTTTCCAATTTACAGACTAAAGGGATACCTTGACCTGAATAGATGGAAGTGTCAGTGGCAGTAAATTGATCCCGAGGAACATCTCTTGTCATATGAGCATGTCCACCTTAATTTAAAATATATATTTAGTTATAGTTGTAGCTAAAATAAGGCTTTAGCTTGAAGAAATACGAAATTAGTCTCATAAATTCTTCTATAAGGTTTTTTTTTTTTTTTTTTTTTTTCCTGACCACGAAGGCGCAAATCGTATCTCTTGACTTGGAAGTTTTTCTTTGCATTCTGGATTATGTGCTTAATTGATTATTAGCTTTTCTTTGAGTCCATCTTTCAGAGCAACCACGGTAGTTGCAATACTTTTAGCCAAAAAATCAATATTCAAATGAAGCTTTAGGCAATACCCTTTAGGATTGTCTCCTATATCGATAGTAGGAAGGCATACAATGAACAGAAGACGGACTAGTGGGTGCTTGGATTTTTAATTCATTGTCGAAGTTTTTCTTATATAATTTGTGTATATGCAGGTGGACTATGAAATGGCATTGGAGTATGCCACGCAGAGTGGAGTAAGCGAGGAACCCAGAGAAACAATATACATACAATCATTGGAAGCTGAAAATAAAATGATTGACCTACAAACTCCATTTTTTGTTTTCAGACTCTTTCAGTAGGTTTAGAAAATTTATTTGATAATGAAAAGAAAAGAGAGTGAAGATGATTTTTCCAAATTAAATTTATATCGTGATACATCAGAAACAATTATTGTATCTATTCTTTTCATTCTAACAAATGCCAATAAGATTGATAAGATATGGCACTGAGTTCTGAATAATGTTTATTCGTGCATTTACGGTACAAGTATTTAGATAAAACAGGTAATGACCCCAACACTGAACCCTCTAAGAACACGTTTCCTTGCCGGTTAAAATAATGGGCATTACTGCTAAACCCTCGATAAAAGAAGGGTTTTAATATTATAGGTGATGTATATCTATATGTTATTATTTTATGTCATTATTTAAAATTTATGTCAGTTTTTAAGTTTTTATAATTGAAATTCACTTTTTTTTTTTTTTTTTTTTTAATTTCTCTCTCATGCTCCCTTCCCTTTCCGGTTTTTCCTTTTTTTTTTTTTTTTTTTTTAATATCTCTCTCATGCTCACTTCACTTTCCGGTTTTTCACTTATTTTTTTTATCTCTCTCACTTTGGGTTTAGTTCCGGAAGTTCAAGTTTTTTTTTATCAAGACTGTATTACCAGATTCTTTTATTACCTTGAAGACTATATTACCAGACTCATCCGCAAATGCTAGCGTGAGGCACCAGCATGTTTTTTGGAACCAAACAGATTAATTGGGATCTCCTAATTCTCTGACCCTGCATACGATGACATAGACCCTTTCTATTTCTTTGACCCTGTATACGATGCTTTTTGCGAATGATTTCTCTGATTGGTGTTGTTGAGACGTTGAGAGTTGTATCGGATGCAAATCAACCACAAATCTCTATCGAAACAATTGCAAGCATATGACTATTTGCTTGAGTTGCGGCAAAAAACATGGTGGAGAATCGCGATTTCGCAGTGTGGAACCACCCTCACTCTCTTGAATTTGAGCTGCGGCAAAAAACGGTGGAAAATCGTAATTTTACAGTGGGGAACCACCCTCACTCTATTAATTGTGAATATTTTGTTCTTAATTTTTTTTAAAAATAATATGACATGGCATTTAAATGGTAATGTGTACATATACATCAATTATAATATCAAAACCCCTCAATAATTGAAGGTATCATAAAATTTTTCTAAAATAATAGCTAAAAGCTGTTTATTGTGAAGATGAAGTCGCGGAATGATAAGTTGGGTTTTGAGTGGTTTTAAAGAGATGAAATTAAGCTGTTGAAATATTTTATACAATCATATCTCATATTTATGATATTTTAAATCCTATCTTGCACTCTCAACTATGATTGTTTTGATTTTTGAAGAGAAAAATTAAGAAAAAAAAAAGAAGAATCAATTAAAAATAGTTAGAGAGAGGGGTAAGTTACAAAAGATACTTTTTGAAATAAAATTTATTCAAAAAAGAGATAAGTTAAAAGACGTTTAGGGTTTTTTTTAAGAAGAAAAGAGAGGCATAAGGAAGGTGTATATGAATACAAAAGAGTATAATCATAATAAGGGTTAAATGGACTTTTAGACTATATAAAATATGAGTTTTAATTTTGGTTCATGTAAAAGAATTTCTTTATTTTTTTTTTAATTTTATAAGTATTATTTTTATCCCTATAAAATAAATAAATTTTAATTTTGGCTTTTGTAAATTTTTTTATTATATTTTTATTCCTATAAAACCTAAAACTACTACTTTTGGTATCTAAAGATCATTTTAATGTATATATAATAATTATTTTAAAGATTCATAAAAAAATTTTAAAAGTGTCACATGTAAATAAAATATTAAATACAAATATAGAAAATTCCTCAAATGGTTATATAACCCTTTAATATACATATAGTGAATTAAAAAATATCATATAATAATAGAGTTAAGATGATAGTTTCAAGTTTTATAAAGAGGAAAAAAATTATTTTTTTTATAAAGATCTAAATCAAAATATACTCATTTTATATAAATTAAAAATATATTAAAATTTAATATTATTATCGATAATATAAAAAAATTGTCTCGGTGTGACATGGCCACAACTTCTAAATAGACCCTCACGCTTTGAAGCCTCAAACGCCAAAATTAGTTACTGTTTAGAATAAATTGGAGTAGTAAAACCCATGTATTTATTCAAAGGTCACTAAAAAAAGGCAATTAGAAAAATTAATGCAGATGATAACCACAGCAATAATAATTACTCCGCTAACACTTGTGTTTTTATTAATAGTTAAATACTTAAATTTATTTTCATAAAAATAGTTTTTTTTACACCAATTCATAAAAAGAATAGTTAAATTTATTTATAATATTAAAATTTATTATTCATAAAATTTTGATAAATTCTGGTCTCTTGCGTAGAAGGTAAGGCTCCAAGTGAGAATAAAATGGAAGCAAGTAGTTGGTTTATGAGCTTGAGAATGAAAGCTAAGGAGAAACAGTGAGAAAGAAAAGCACGGTGAGTGGTGAGATTTGAAACTTGAAAGTGTGCAGATTGCATTGTAGCTATGGCGACGAAGCTTCCTGAGATCGCCATTCTTGGAGCTGGTATCTTCGTGAAGACTCAGTACCTTCCCAGACTCTCCGAGATCTCTCATCTCTTCACTCTCAAAGCCATTTGGAGCCGCACTCAGGTCTCATTCTCATCCAAAACGCTGTTAGTGTTTCTTTTCGCTCTTGTCTTGTTCCATTCTCGTTATCCTTTTCCCGCGCAGGAATCCGCTACTTCTGCCGTAGAGGTTGCTCGCAAACACTTTCCCGGAGTGGACTGTAAATGGGGAGATAACGGTCTTCATGACATCATCCAAGACGGATCAATTGATGCTGTTGCCGTCGTTTTGGCTGGACAAAATCAGGTTTCTTATTTCTCTCCTTTCCTCTATTCATTAGCTTCAATTTAAATAAAAATAATCATAATGCCATCTACTTGCATATATTGCCTGTTATATTATGGAGTTTTAGCTCAATTGGTTGACCAGAGTGCGTGAGTTATCATTCGTACCAAGGGGAAATGTTATTTGTCAATCCACACTTTACAAGCTTCTTACCGGTTAGTATCTGATAAGAATTTATAAAGCCTTCACAACCCTCATTTTACAAGTTACAAGTTGGTTTTATAGGACGAGTTCTCCAAATCTAAAATGGTATCAAAACTTATTCTAGATCCATTATCTGGTCACATACTATTTTATCCATCCACGCAACAATCCCAATAGTCTTGGCTACATATATATTGGAAAAAACATTAGTCCCATATTGACTAGAGATAGTCGACTGATATGAGCTTTTAAAGTTTAGGCACTTCTCGTCTTACGAGTTGTTTTTATAGGGATGAGTTTGTCTTTGAATGTTATAAACAAATTATTTGTCAGTCAAGTTCAATTGGAATTAGAAGGGTTTTTCTTCTTGAATTCTTCAGAATTGGCGATTTCTGTGCAGTATTTTATTTTTAAGAGCAATCAATTGTTGCAGGTTGACATCTCACTGAGAATGCTAAGGGCTGGTAAACATGTCCTTCAAGGTAATGATTTTTTTAGATGTAATGTGTTCATGGTTGGTTTGCCAGATATTGCCTTTCTTATGCGGGGCAGTTTAATTGAGTTGGTGAGGAACTTACCTGGCTACTTGACATCATGCCAGTAAACTGATGTTTGATACTCACTTATTTTGGCTTTAATCTTTTGTGCCATTGACTAAATTTTCTGCTTGTTTTTGGATATATTATATGCGTTGGGCCGTTGGCTGCCTAATTTGGCGGATATAAAGAGAAACCTGCGGCATCTTGTAAGTAGTGTGTTTTGTTATAGCAATTATATACTTCTATCTCTATGTAGATGAGCATTTTACGTGGACCTATCTTGGTCCTCTTTTATTGTTATCATTATTATTCTTCATAGTGTGTATGCAAAATCTATTTTATTCCCTGTAAAAAAATATTGACCAAGTCATAAGAGCATTGTTTCACATGATTCTAGGAGAACTAGACCTCAGTTTCTTCATCTTCACATGTTGATATTACTTTACAATCTATCTTCTAAGATTGTATTAAGGTAATGAAGAAGAATTTGGATGTAAGACATGTTGAAAGTAAATTTCTTCAGTGCAATAATACTGAAATCAAACCGAAACTGTGTTGCATTTAGAAACTCCTGAGGACCTCCACACTTTCTAATGCTAATTGTTTCATTTACCTTTGGAAATATGATAGGTTCAATTCAAAGCCTAAATTAAGATGCTATTGTTTTACTGATGAACCAGTACTGACTAAGAATGCAAAGAATTGTCTCATGACTGTCATCTAGTTCATTCAAGTCTTGCTGCGGCTGGGTTAGGGTTTTCATAGAAAAGAGTAAGGTAAAAAAGAAAATTTAGAAAAGAAGAAAGGTGGAGGGTAATATGGCTGCTTACTTGATGTGATACTCATCTATTTGTAAGTGACAATCATGAGTCAAGTACCAAGTTATACACAAGCTGGAGTACAAAATTTCACCAGGGGTGTTGTTGACTATCCCATGATTCCCATTTCAATTGTGTTATAGAATTCTGTTAGGACCCAATGATACTTTTGATAATGACTTGGAAAAATAACGTTCTCTCTATTACATTGATAGCTTCTATAATCGGTGTTCCATGTATATCCCCTTCTAATTGTCAGTTACCTTATCATGCTGGTCCTATAAAATTTGTTGATCATATTGTTATCATGTCTTGTATAAACAATATTTTAATATGCTTTTCTAAAATTTTAAACTATTAGCTTAATTATATATCAATATAATAATGCAGGTACAAGTGAATTGGAAACTGCATTATCTAGCTACAAATCTATTTCTGCTGATGCTCCTGGTCAATTGATTTGGTCTGTGGCCGAAAATTATCGATTTGAGCCTGGCTTAGTAGAGGTATTTGTTTATTTGAGATCTTGATCTATGAATCCAACTTTGCAGTCACATAAGTTTTTTGGCAGTGCAAGAAACTAATTGCTGGCATTGGGAAAATGATGAGTGTCCATGTTATTATTGAAGGATCAATGAACAGTTCAAACCCCTACTTTTCAAGCTCTTGGAGGCGCAATTTCACTGTATGTGCTTTGTGATTAAGTTGCACAATCTTTGTCTATTTAAATTCAAGAGAGCATTTGTCATACAACTTATGCTTTTGGATCGCTTCAATGAACTCTACCATTTTGGCCTAAAAACTAAAAGAACTCTACTATTTAATATAATATTGAAGAATATGTGATATCTTAATATCACAAACTCTACGATAATAATGAATAAGAATGAGGTTTTAATTTTATTCACTCACTCCCAATTTCAAGTTTGAATTATTTATATTACACGACCAATGGAGTAGTGAGACATTCTAACCCATTTTTAATAAGGTTCATTTCAGTTTCATGTATTTTCTTTTCTGAGGCTATATTTGATAGCTAAACTATTGCAAATTCTGAAAAATTTTCAATAACTCATGTTATTAGCATAACACTTTATGCCTTTTTTATCGTAATAAATCCTTTTTTGGTTCCTTATGTGAAGTTATCCTTTTTTCTTTTTGGCAGGGAGGTTTCATTCTTGATATGGGTGTGCATTTCATTGCAGGGTTAAGAATGGTAATCTTAAAGATTTTTTGTATAATTCACAAACTACTTTGTTTATTATCTCATGCCTTTCTGGTATTTCTAGTGAAATTTATAGTGCAGATAATCTCCTTTGATTATTTCTCTTATCAAACTGATACTCTTGGCATCATAATTTGAAGTTATGAACTAGTCGTATAAAAAATACACTTGATTATTGAAAAGTTATTGCTTGTATGATATTTTGACATGCTTATTGTTTCACACTCAACACTACTGAGTGCATAAATTGTGGAAGATAACTGAAAATGACTCTCAAATGGTAAAGTTGCTTGTGATTCTAAAAGTTCCCTTTCAACTTATTTCTCTGTTAGAAATCCTAGAAAAGGGGCTTTTATGCTTGACTTCTATACAATGATGGTCTTTTGGTCTTAACCTTTTCTATGGCAGCTTGTTGGGTGTGAGGTGGTTTCCGTTTCAGCTATGACATCTCATGTGGATTTGACCTTACCTCCCCCAGATAATATATCATCTGTCTTGTAAGCCTCTATTTCTTGGAGTTAAGTTTACAATACATGACTGGAAAGTGGAAATCTAAGATTAATTTTGATATGTTTTGCCCTAGTCATTTGGAGAATGGATGTTCAGGAGTGTTTGTAATGGTTGTCTCCTCCAGATCACCCAAGGCATGTGGTCAACGATCATTCATCTTACAAATACACATATGCTCAACTCATGCCAGGCAGTAGATGTGCTTATTATTCGTGTATTTATTCTCTTAAGCTTTAACTCATAACGTTTAATACATTATAGACCTTGTGGCGAGTTGTTGGCTTGAATGGAACCGTACAAGTTGAGCGTGGATTCCAAGGACAACATGGTTACCTGGTATATACTGTAGTTTCAGTTACTGGTTTTCACAAATAATATCTTAGGTGGGATCTGAGCATTGCTTCAATATCACCCAAGTTGCAAAGTATTTTAACAAAAGCACTGTCAGCTATCTTTCATTTTTTCTCACCTAAAATGCCCGCATTTGTTTTTTGTTTTATGATGCCATATAGGTTACGTTACATGGTGCCGATGGACAAACCAAAAGCTCCTTCTTCCCATTCAGTGGAGTAACAGAAGAACTAAAAGCTTTTATTAATGATGTATCTGAAAACACCCTCAAGGTAATCGAGTACAAAATGCTTCCTCCTTCTCATATTTGAATTCCAAAACAAATTCCTCTCGTTGATTTATCATGTTTCCTTCTTTCCCTCAATTGTATGTCCAAACATTCATGGAACCGTAAATTCAAACAACTTCATGCACATAAAATAAAAATAAATAAATTAAAAACAATCTAAACAAGGTGCTATTCTCTAGTCTAATTTATTCCCTTCTAGCTGAAGGGGAGTCAATTTGAGGCTGAGTCCCGCCTCTCTTTTGTCGAGGGTGCAAGAGATGTTGCTGTCTTAGAGGCAATGCTTGAATCTGGAGCAAGGAAAGGTGAGCTAGTTAATGTGAAAAAATTTTGAGGTAATGGCAACATTATTCAGTGTCTTCCGATAATCACTGTATTGGTCTTGAATATTGAGTCGAGCAAGGCAGTTAAGTATAGATGAATAAGCTGATCAATGTCATTGGATGAAGTTTTAGGATTTGTATAAGTTTATTAAAATTGTTGCTGCTATGCTCTTGAACCCGAAACTTTTAATAACTTGAGGCGGAATATTTGAAATACTACTAATATTTGCCACTTTTATTGAAACACCTTAGGACACTCATAAGCCGGATCCATTATTTTAATATACCATGTAATATTAATACTGTGAGAAATATGGTGCTCTCATATTTCGTTTTCAACCATGAAATGTATATCATCTCAGCTAGAACTTCAAAAATATAATTAATGATTGCCCATGTAGTAGCTCAAGTGATATTATATATGCTCTCGAGCACCTAAGAATTTCTATAATTATGGTGCACTTCGTGGACTGGATTGTGTAGTTAGAAGGGAAGCTTAGCTAAACTGACAGTTATATAATGTATGATTTATTTAAATTTTGGCATATGTAAGAATGTCGTGTGGTTCATGATCATAAAGGATGCATAAAGGATGTACTGTATTCTCTAGAGTACTCGAGATATATATGGTCGTTCTGCATATGTAGGAGAGTTTATATGTACGGTCGTTCTGCATAAAGGATGTACTGTATTCAACCGAATAGGAAACATTTCATTCAGAAAATTCTCTCTATTCTCGAGCAATTCCATTCAAACTTTTTTGGTTCTTAAAAGGATAAGCTAAATCAAACTTTTTCTGTTTTCTGTCTGATAAAAAAAAAAATCTTAAAATACAAGTTACTTAATTATTATAAAAGGAAAAAAAGGTATTTTTTAAAAGGCTTAGTGAAAAAAAAAGAAGGAAAAATAACTAACTTCTCTTATGTTTCTTTCCCTGCATTCTGCTCTTTTTTCCTTGCTTGCAACTATCTTCCTATTCTTTCTTTCTCTTGGGGTGTATCAAGTGAGAACAATTCTCATTTTAATAACGTGAGAACTGTAAGTTTTGATCATATAATAGTTACACTAGGATGGCAACGGGGCGGGGTAGGTACGGGTTTTATGATACCCGTCCCGTCCCCGCGAGTTAAATCCATCCCCGTCCCCGTCCCCGTACCCGCCGGGTATGTGATTTTCATTCCCATCCCCGTCCCCGTCGGGTATCGGGTATACTCGTACCCGTCAATTTTTTTATTTTTTATTTTTTGTAAAAAAAATAATATTTTTAAATTATTTTTTTAAATATTAATTTTTTTTAATATAATTAAATTAAAAGTGAGTATTAAATTAAAAATGGAAACGGGGACGGGTACGGGTACGGGACGGGTAAGTACATATCTGTACCCGTACCCGTACCCGGTCAAACCGGGTATTCTCCGTCAAAGTCGGGACGAGTTCGGGTATTACCGCGGGTACGGGTATATTTGCCATCCCTAAGTTACACGACTGCTTAAAAAGGTCATGTATGCCATTTTATATTTATTACTTATTTTGTTAATTAATTTTAACAAATGCTATTAATTTAATTAATTAATTTAGAGTAGTGTTATATGTTTAAAAAAATTATATAATAATTCGTACAATATCATTTTTGTTTATTTCTTCTCATTATTTTATTTATTATGGATAGATAGACAGAATATTTTTATATAAATTATTGCACAATTTTTATAGTATATGTAGCATTATTTAAGAAAGAATGATAAATAAAAAATGGGAATGTGAAGTTGATGAAGAAAACTTCATTATAACATGGGAAGAGTGAAATCAATTACTCTTTTGTGTTCTTTTTAATAAAATTTAATTAATTAATTCATTATGATTAAAAAAAATAGCTAATCAAGTTAATAATATTTTTTTAAAAAAAAATATCTCTAACATTAATGAAATATTATTTATTTATTTTTTAAAAATATTTTTATTATTTCATTCTTTTAATTACTCATCATTAATAATTTTTTTCTTTAATTTCTATTGAAAATATGAAGAATCCAACTAAACTTTCCAAACTGCACTTCATATATTGTAAAAATAAACTCACAAAGTGACTAAAATATCAATGTATTTCATTACTGTTTATTAAATTAAAAAAATACTCATAATTACGGGTATGTTTTTTTTATGAGAAATGTATGAGACATTATTTGATTGTTATTTATTTTTATTAATTATATTGAATATTGATTGTTATATATATAAAAAAGTAGTAAATAAGACTTCTAAATTAATTTTTATAAAAGGGACGGAAAGAATTATCACCTTGAGCTGAAGCATAAGAATACATACACGTGTGTGGTTAAGTCCTAAATAGACTACTAAGGTAAATATTATTATAAATATTATAATATTGTATTTTAGATAAGTTTGTAACTTTCTTAATAGTTATTTTAATAATGATATTTACAATAATTGTATTGATTCATAATATATACTTTTTTCGTTTAAATTGTTTTTAGTGTTTATAATTATAGTTTTTTTTGGTCCTATATAATTATTTTTTAAAATAGTCAATGTAAGCTTTACCTTTTTTTTATTCTTATTATATTATTTCAGCCTTTATAATATATATATATATATATATATATATATTCTATAATATTTTATTCTTTTTGAGTTGATTTTTTGAAAAAATAATAAGAACTAAGCAAAATATTCACATATTAGAAGATAAAAAGAAAATAATAGTATATTATAAAGACAAATGAAATTATAAAAATCATAATATTTTTTACAAATAAAAATAAAAATCAATATATTACATAAAAAGGATTTAGGTAAATCTTTTACAAAAATACATGATAATTAACTTTTTAAAATAAAAATCGTTAGTACGGTCCAAACATAATGATCACCTGTAAATAAAACTGAATCTGTCGTGTGGGAGCAATGATTTAGGTGTTTGTCGACTTGTCTTTTCAAAACACGCATTCTATACTCTTTTCACTTTTCAGAGAAGGTTCATGCATTATTAGACATCATCACCTTCTACTTCTTCCACCTAAAAAACATACTAAAAGACATCATCACCTTGTCCTCATCCTATTTCGCGATAAAATTTCAAAATTTTAAATATAATTTTGTTTCTCGTAAAAATTATTATTTAAATTATTTTTCTTTGTAAACTAACTAAAATGATTTATGAAATACACTCTCATGTCGCTTTTTAGTCAAACACTAAATCCTTTCCTAAATTTTTGTGTATCAATGGGAATAAAATTCCAAAGTTGGCCACTCACTTTTAATCTTAATATATTTTTTCTGCAACTATCTTTTCCAAAAACCTCTTAAAAATGAATATTTCATGTCTCTTTCCTCTGCTAATAAAAAATCATAGAAGTAGAAAAACACAATTAACTCTTCAAAATATAAGCACATTTCAATAAATACGAACGATGAATTACGTGCTTAATTTTTCAGCAGTGAATTTTCGCAATTATTGTTTAGACATAAGCTACATAATATAAGATTTTGTTTAAATCATACTTTCGAAAATAAACAAGAAAAATTAAAGACGCACTCGATCGTCCTTTGTACATTTTTTTTTGCAATTTTTAGTTTCATAACTATAAAAGATTGGTTCACCATACGTTGAAAAATAAGAAAGAAATCAACGAACCTCAAAAAAAAAAAAAAAAAGAAAGAAAGAAAGAAATGACTCCGAAATCAAACTCACTAGTCAAACGTGGAAATAGTCGAGAAACATGTGGGGATGTGAAATACAAAAACAAACACGATTGGTGTCTCTTAACTTATTCAAAATTTAAATTCTAATTTAATATAGAATAAACTATATTAAGAAAAGTATTTATAGAAGAATAAAAATGTAATTTAATCAAATATTTTAAATATAATTAAAAAATATATTTGAGCGTACAATTGTACTAGAAATATAATTACTTTGTTATTCTTTTCTCCTTTTACCTTACTATTATTGTTGGACCACACTTTATAGGACAACAACCCCACCAACAATTCCAATGCAAATGTCCCCCCTTTACCATTTGGTAAAAAGATCGAAAGAAAGAAAGACTATATTAAAAAATTTGCTTTGATTATTAGTTCCAAGATATAAAAGTTAGTTAAAGGTTAAAGATACGTGTGTTTGAAGGTATAATAGTGTATTTTTAGGAATTATAATCTCAAGAATTATATATGGCTCGAATTTTATTTTAAAAATAAAATTTACTTAGATAGAAATGAAAAAAATAAAAATAAAAAAGGAAATTTGAAAGAATGAAATAAGTGTTATGACTATTTAATGATGATTGTCCATTATTATTTACATTTCACTTTAATATTATTATTTTATTTGTAACCATTTATATTTATAAATAAATTCTTTTGTTAGAAACAATAAGGACAATTACTTATGGTAAAAAATAACTTTTATTTTGGCGGAAGTATATGTTAATTTACCTTTCATAGTGGGAATAAAATTAAGAGAAATATGAACGTTATGGATGAATTAAATTCGTTACTTTTTGTAAAATATTTAAACGGAACCAGATTTAGTATTTTGTTTTTAAAGCAGATGTAGCATTTTTAAAGTCGCATATTCATTCGTTAAATTGCAATTCAAGTATATGGAACCAAAGACAAGACAACTAACTAACAAGCTTTATTATAATTAGATAGTTTTTTTTTACAGCAACATAATTAGATAGTTGAAGTTCTTTAATTAGGAGTTCGATTCTTAACTACATATATGAAAATTTTGTAGGAAAAAAAAATCACTTTAGTAATATATATGTCTTAAAATAAATTAATATTAAATTATTGATTGTGGATGTCTATTGTGTAAAAACCAGAAAAGACAATTGAATATATAAATATTCAATTATAAAAACCTAAGTTAAATAAAATTTTAAATAATTATTTTCACAATAATTCTTAAAATTGATTTTAAATATCTAAAAAAATACCAAGTTTTTATTATAAAATACTTATTATATTATAAGTACACATCTTAATAAAATTTATCTAAGAGAAAAAAAATGGATATACACTAATAGTTCAATATAGCCTGTCTTTGTCATCTATCATAAATATATTATATAATAAATTTATTAACTTTTATAATAATTATCTTAAAAATTATATAAATACTTTTTTAATTAGCTGGTGGTGAATTATTTTACTAAATTTTAATTCAATAAGTTAAATTACCACGTGTCAACTTTCAACTTCCATTATAATCAACTCTTCCGCTACTTTTATCAAAGCACATTTTCGTTAACAAATCAGTTAATCACATTCCCTTAACCTGAAACAAAAAGAGCCACAAAATATCAAATTCCTCGAACGTGTGCCTCGGGTTTAATTCTACCATGTTCCCCTAAACTGAAGATCATATTTACTTTAGCACAAGCTGTTATAGGAATAAGCACCATTATTTAAATGGAAAGCTATATACATTGATATTTTCTGCCAAAAGAGTTATATTATCAAGGTTAATTTCTATGTATTGTGGTGTAATTATTATTTTTTTACAGTAACCAACAAAAATTATTATTATTATTATTATGATTTTCAAAATAGTTTTTATAAACAACAACAAACACATACACCACACATAATTATTTATAATTGAATGATAGTATGATTTTTTTCATCACATTAATGATTTTTTTCTCATTTTTTTATCTCTATTAAAAAAATTTACTATAAAGATAATTTCTCCCAGACAAAAGGAAGAGACAAGAGTTGCAGAAGGTAGTTTGCTGTGCTGATATATAGTTCCTTTTATGTGTGAGAATTAATGCATTATAGAGAATCAGTTTTCAACCGATCACACGTTTTTCTTATTTCGTTTCATGTTAATTTCACAGATTCACTACGTAGTTCCTTTTGTGTTGGTCTTTTGTGCACCAAGAAGAACTTAGGAAGATAGCTGCACCTAGCAGCAGTGACGTTTGAGGTCAGTAATGTATCTTCTATATATGTTGCGTGTGCGCGTGCATGAGCTTCAAAGAACACCAAACATTTACCAAAAATATTTGGTTTGAGTTGTTGTGGTAGTTGAAGAAACACTACTAATACACAAAACCTGCTACATGAAAAAGAATCCATATAAACCAAAAAAATGCAACACGCTCAACTTTTGCCTTTTCCTTGTGCCATGTTTATTTGGATGAAATGTTTCTCTTGAGAAAATCTGTATACAGTAGTAAAACACAAGTTCTGAATTGATGGTTCTTTAAACGCAGCAGCAGCAGGTGCATTTCTTCTTTTAAGGCTCACTCTTCGTAAATATTTAGTCGAGTCTGTTTTAATGTAAAATTGAAGTGCTTCTGAGAGCTTCTCAACTGAAAATAATGTTTTTGTTCAGTAAAAAAAGCTCTTAAAACTGCTTCTAAACGTATCCAAAAAGACTTTGAGCTTTCTTCATCTGAAGTGTTCTTTTACTTACAAAATGAGAATTCATGCAGGTTAATTGGTGAGTGTAGTGTCTAAGAGAGGAAGATGCATAAGCCAGCAGAGGCATTTGAGTTTGCTCTCAAGGAGACCTCACCCAACATAGGGGCAGGTTCTGTCATGAGGGACAAGCTATCCTGCACCTATGATCTGGTTGAACAGATGCAGTACCTCTATGTTAGAGTGGTGAAAGCAAAGGATTTACCAGGGAAGGATGTTACTGGTGGTGTGGATCCCTATGTTGAAGTGAAGCTTGGAAACTATAAGGGCCTCACCAAGCACTTTGAGAAAAAGTCCAACCCTCAGTGGAATCAGGTTTTTGCCTTCTCCAAAGAGAGGATTCAAGCTTCTGTTTTGGAGGTGGTGGTGAAAGATAAGGATGTTGTTGTGGATGACTTTGTGGGGGGAGTGATGTTTGATCTCAATGAAATCCCAAAACGTGTGCCCCCAGATAGCCCTTTGGCTCCACAATGGTACAGGTTGGAAGATAGGAGAGGTGACAAGGCCAAGGGAGAGTTAATGTTGGCAGTTTGGATGGGGACTCAAGCAGATGAGGCATTTCCTGATGCATGGCATTCTGATGCAGCAACTGTTGGTCCTGAGGCTGTTGCAAACATAAGATCAAAGGTTTACCTTTCACCTAAGCTTTGGTATGTCAGGGTCAATGTTATTGAAGCTCAGGATTTGGTGCCAAGTGACAAAAGCCGGTATCCTGAAGTTTTTGTGAAGGCTAATCTGGGGGTTCAGTTTTTAAGAACTAGAATATCTCAAATTAAGACCATAAATCCTATGTGGAATGAGGACTTGATGTTTGTTGCTGCTGAGCCATTTGAGGACCCCTTGGTTCTGACTGCAGAAGACCGGGTTGGGCCAAACAAGGATGAAATCCTGGGGAGGTGTGTGATTCCTTTGCACATTGTGCAAAGGAGGTTGGACCATAAGCCTGTGAACACAAAGTGGTTTAACCTTGAAAAGCATGTGGTTGTTGAAGGGGAGAAGAAGAAAGAGAGTAAGTTCTCAAGCAGGATACATTTGAGGATTTGCTTGGAAGGTGGCTACCATGTGTTGGATGAATCAACTCATTATAGTAGTGATCTTAGGCCAACTGCAAAGCAGCTTTGGAAGCCTAGCATTGGAATTCTGGAAGTTGGGATAATAAGCGCACAAGGGCTAATGCCAATGAAAACAAGAGATGGTAGAGGAACCACAGATGCTTATTGTGTTGCTAAATATGGACAAAAGTGGATCAGGACTAGGACAATCGTAGATAGTCTTGCTCCAAGGTGGAATGAGCAATACATTTGGGAGGTTTTTGATCCATGCACTGTTATCACAATAGGGGTCTTTGATAATGGTCATTTACACGGGGGAGACAAATCAGGTGGATCAAAGGATTCAAGAATAGGGAAGGTGAGAATTAGGCTATCCACTCTTGAAGCTGATAGGGTATACACACATTCTTACCCTCTTTTGGTATTGCACAATTCAGGTGTGAAGAAAATGGGAGAAGTGCAATTGGCTGTAAGGTTCACAAGCTTATCTTTGATAAACATGTTGTGTATGTATTCACAGCCCTTGTTGCCAAAGATGCACTACATCCATCCTCTATCTGTGATTCAGCTGGACAGTCTTAGGCATCAAGCTATTCAGATTGTGTCAATGAGGTTGAATAGGGCTGAACCACCCTTGAGGAAAGAGGTAGTGGAATACATGCTAGATGTGGATTCACACATGTGGAGTATGAGAAGGAGCAAAGCCAATTTCTTCAGAATAACCAAAGTTCTAGGAGGGTTGGTAGCCCTTGGAAGGTGGTTTGATCAGATATGCAATTGGAAAAACCCTCTCACATCCATACTCATTCATATCCTTTTCATAATATTGGTTCTTTATCCAGAGCTAATACTTCCCACAATTTTCCTTTACCTTTTTCTGATTGGAATTTGGAACTTCAGATGGAGGCCTAGACACCCTCCTCATATGGACACTAGACTATCACATGCTGATGCTGCTCATCATGATGAACTAGATGAAGAGTTTGACACATTTCCAACCTCAAAATCATCAGACATTGTTAGGATGAGGTATGATCGTTTGAGAAGCATTGCAGGGAAGGTGCAAACTGTTGTAGGTGACCTTGCCACTCAAGGAGAAAGGTTCCACAATCTGCTAAGCTGGAGAGACACAAGAGCTACCACACTCTTTGTGATATTCTGTTTCATTGCTGCACTAGTTCTCTATGTTACTCCTTTCCAAGTTGTGTCCCTTCTCATTGGCTTCTATGTCCTAAGGCACCCCAGATTCCGCCAGAAACATCCTTCAGTACCATTCAACTACTTCAAGAGGTTGCCTGCTAGAGTAGATAGCATATTGTAAACATAATTGCCTTGATCAGATATTTTCAAGCCAGGGAAGAACAATTGTGCAACTTGCCCCATCATCAAAATGGCTAAGATAATATGTCAAGTTTGTCCATATAAACTGTAAGTGTATAATTTCATGTCACTGCTATTATGCCTGTCTAATGTGAATTATGAATGGTTTAGCTAGATTTTCCTTGTAACCCTGTGATGTTTTCAGTGTGCCAAACTAGTCATTATTATTTTCAGTGATTTCAAGTATAGTTGATGTTACTAATGGACTGTCTCATTCTATTGGAGCCAGAGCCATCATAGTTGATTATAAGCCCTGCAACAAATCTTTCCTTCATCCCCAAAAAACAAACAAGCATTTAAACTGAACAATACTTCTAAGAGATAAATAAAAGGATAACACTTCCTTGCAGTGTCATAGGAATTGTTAGTGTTGTTCTTCGATCAGAATTAAAGTTTTATTGCACTAATATGTATACATCAAATGTCATCGCATATTATTAAGGTGAGTTGAAACTCTAACTCCGATGGAAGAATCATGCCAATAACAACCATGATATTGTCTCTAAGTTTTGTTTGAAATAGAATGCAATATTGAATGAAAGAGTTTGTTTAATGACAAATGTAACCATTCTTTGCTTCAGAATTAGAAACCATGGCTTGATGTACGCGTTGCCTCTGCCCTGCCAATTGGCAAAACACCAAATAATACGAGTTCCATAATTTTGTAATTGTTATTAAGAATTGCTCAAAGTATGAAAATTTATCTTTATTGTAGAAATGTCATTTTCATAAAAAAGGTTACTGTTTGTCAATGAACTTTTCATAGTGCATCTAATTAATTTTGGCTTATGGCTGCAGCGATGTTTGACCGAGACTAGACTGTAGTACTGCACTAAACCAGGCATTAACCCCATAATTAGCATCACATTCATAATCACCATTTAGTTGACTTGTTAATATGTTTTCAGAAAGTCATTTTCATTACCACTGCAAAAGGAAAAAAAAATGATATCAATTTTTTTAAAACTTATTTATTGATAATTTATTTGTGCAAATTGATTGGACAATTGCATGCCAATCAATACAATTTTTCTTACAAAATGTTTGGAAAAACATAACAATATTCAAGTGCCAATCTGTAATATATATATATATATATATATACATCTGTGGGACATATTCCATCTCATCTATTTTTATTTTTATCAAGAGTGATCGATCACAAGAAAGGAGTCATTTGAGGAAATTTTAAATTTGAACCCATAAAAATGGCTCAGTTGGGTTGATTAGTATTTGTTCAATTTGTGGCTGTCAAACTAGTCAACTCAAGCTATCTATAAAATGAGTCATTATATTTAAATGTTTAAAAAGCAAAAATAAAAAAAGAGAGAGAAATTGAAAAAAAGAAATTAAAAAAATATATTTTATCTAAAAATTTCAATCTAAAAAAAGAATAAATAAAATTAAAGATTAAAGTTCATAAACATTAAGTATTTTTATATATTAATATAGGCGGGTGAGGTGTTAAATGTTTTAAAACTTATACCTTATTCGATTATCCGAATCCATACATTATTAAAACAATTCAGGCCATCAACCTAATTCATTCTGGTTTTTATTTTTAGCACGAAATTAAAGTTAGTCAACTTGGTCAGAAGATCAATCCAATTTATAATCACGCATGCTATTTTTATATAAACTAAAACAATCTCACAATCACAAATCTATTACCTTTCTTCCTTTTTTAACAGTTATTTAAGATTGTCATACACAGATTAATAAATACAATAAAATTTTATGTTTGTCATGCAATAACTTTTTCTTATTATACTTTTTTCATTTTTTTCATAATAATACATGTAAATTATAAGAGTAAATTAATTAAAAGTTAAATAAGATATAAGAGTATAATTTACAAGATAATAAACAATATACTCTTAAACTTTGAAATGACATATAAACAAAAACAATTTTTTTCCTAAATAAAAAGGAACTGAGATAGTAATATGTATTTCTTTGTATATGTTAAAATATATTTTTAGGGTATTAAGGATTCATTTTCCAGCTGACATAACCCATTAACATAACCCATAATTAGCATCTTAAAATTTGACATTCATCAGCTGATGTTATAAATTATTTATTATTTTCTTGAGGTAAAGTATTCTTAATCTAATTATTTGATAACTACATTATTTTTATATCGTTAGAAAGTCAATTTCAAATAAAAAAGAATATTCTTTTTCATCTGCGAAATTGCGTGGGGATAATCCCAAGAAATATAAAAGTACAGAACAAAATAGTTTTTAATTAAAGAGCATCAAATAAAAATAAAAAGAGACAGAGAGGGCAAATACATAATTTAAAGGTACTACTTTTTGTCGTATCAATACAATACATGTGTGGTCTATACTTTTGATGAATTATGTGATCTAAGGTAACACTAATTAAATATAAAATATATACAAGAGAAAAGTTAAAGGCTATGGAAGTTGGAAGAAAGGTGAAGTAATTGTATATTTTAATTAGATATAAAACATATACAAGAGAAAAGTTAAAAGTAAAATTTAAAGAATCCAATTAGTCTGAAATATATAAGAAATGAGGAATTTCTTGTGGGAACTTGAGTTCAACAACTCCATATCTCTCTCCCTCTCTCTCTCTTTGGGAGCCTCAAGCAACTCCAAAATAATATGGGATGAATTAGAATCTATTTAGCTACACAAACATGCACGTGTTTGTTTGGAGGAAAATAAAATAAAAAGAATATTTTAAAAATATATAATCTATTTTGGTGTAAAACAATAACCTATTTAATTTATTTATTTGAAGCAGAAGAAGAAGATTAGAGATTTTTTATTATTATTATTTTTGTTTCTTCTATAATGTGATTACATGAAGGATTTAAAAAGAAACAAAATATATATATATATATATACTACATCGGTTATGCTATAAACTGGTGTAAAAAGTGTTGAATATACTACATCGGTTTGCATGAGAACCGATGTAGTTTTACGTACTTTTTACATCGGTTTTCGAAACAGATGTAAAATATCTTACACATTCTACATCGCCTGAATCTACATCGGTTTTAGAACCGATGTAAATTATCTAAATGAACCGATGTAAAATGTCCCTCCTGTAGTAGTGA